TTTTGTATTTTAAAAATGTATTTGAAAAGTGAATCCAAACCAGATGTGAAGATGAGACTTTCAAGGATATAGCAGTTTCCCAAGTTGTTTCTCGCCTAATTATTTCTAAACACTTTTATGCAGAAATAACCAGAGTTAAATAACATACTTTGCTGATGCTGACAACTTCTTGGCTTGCCTTAAGGATAGACGTAGCCTTTTCTCTGGAACTTCATCACTACTGCTGCTCCCCCCATCAGTATCAGAAGTCTGTGGATGATTGCTACGCTGAAACTCTTGGATAACTTCTGATGCTTCAGTCTTCAGGGCTGCATAAAGTGGACTCAGCAGATACTAAAAGAGAAAAACAGGCATCTCAGAAGTAATATACAACTTTCTCTCTGTCTTACTTATACAGCATACTGCAACTTTCTACAGAATTATAGATTAAAGATCAACATGATCACAAGGATAACTAATATATTATTTCCTATTTGCGCAAATTCCCTTGCCATCAGAGATTAGTTATGAATGCAAACAGGGCACTTTTAAAGCCAGATTTCTTTCATCTGTGTTGTGTTTAATTGTAAATGTAAAGAAAGCCAGTGTGGTATAGTACAGGGGTCCCCAATCCCCGGGCCGCAGAGCGGTACCGGGCTGTGGCCTTGGCAGGACTGGGCTATGGAGACAGATCTCCTGCCCCTCCACATGCGCGCATGCATGCCTCCCACGCATGGACAGATGCAAGCATGCCCCCCACAGACGCGCACACACAAATCTGCATGCACAGACACCCTCCCATGCACGCAGAGATGCACCACTCCGCAACCCCTGCATGCATGCTAAACTGGTTTGTTGTGTCAAAAAGGCTGGGGACCACCGGCACAGCGGACAGAATGTCAGATGAGGACTCAGGAAATGTAGTTTCAAATCTCCAGTCAGCCACAGAAACTTGCTGGATGAAGGGTGACACTGGTAAACCACTCCTTGTACACACATTTCAATACCCAGTTAGGAATGCCATAAGTGGGAGGGTGACCTTACTGTGTGTAACAAGAACTGGCCTAAACACATCATCAGCCTGGCAAGGACATTAAGATTTCATATACCCTCCTCTTTTACAGTCCACAAACCACCACTTTCCAGGGCTCTTATACAATATTTACAGATGGTGCAGCAAAGAGTGAAAATTGCCCTCTCCCAGTTCTGCTAATAGAATCAGTTCCATCAGCAGGTGCCCCTGTTGAATTCGGGTCTTTGCTGTTAAATCAGTACCTTTAACAAAGAGTCATGAAATATAAAGCAAAGCATGCTGCTTATAAACCACCCCATAGCACTTCAAGCACTCTCTGGGCAGTTTACAAGTTAATTATGCAGTATACACATTGCCCCCCCCCCAGCGAGCTGGGTACTCATTTTACCAAGCTTGGAAGGATAGAAGGCTGAGTCAAGCTTGAGCCGGCTACCTGGGATTGAACCCCAGGTCATGAGCACAGTTTTAGCTGTAGTACAACAATTTAACCACTGCGCCACAAGGCTCTATGCCCTTCCAAGGCCCAAAGTGAACTTCCTGAAGTGTGTAGCCATGTGACAATTACAGTAGTAACCCACTGTTATGTTGGGGGAGGAGGAGACAGGATTGGACTGCCATCCTCCAACGCTTCCTCACAAAAGTCCTCTCATTGTCCTACGTGATCCTAGTTAGCTACACTATTTAAAAGCAAGTTATAGATTTCATTCAGTCATTCTTGTTTCAACCGGTTGTTGAAGAAATTTCCTTCCCCTATCTAGACTACCTAATGATTATGATCTTTACTGCATAACCATGTACAGTTGTGCCTCGCTTAACGATGTTAATTGATTCCAAAAAAAACATTGCTATGGGAAAACATCGCTAAGTGAAACACCATTTCCCATAGGAATGCATTGAAAACCGGTTAATCCGTTCCAATGGGAACGGATTACCGTCCTTAAGCGAAAATCGCCATAGGAAACATCGCTAAGCGAAACAATGTTTCCCCCATTGGAATGCATTGAAGCCTATTTAATGCATTCCAATGGTTTTGCGATGTCCATTTTCGCTATTTTTAAAGTGTCTTGAAATGTTCAAAAACTGTTTTAAATGTTTGGCATCGTTAGTGCACCTTGTAAAACCATTGAAAACTTAATTTGGCTTTGTTCTGACTCTTCGTTAATTTTTGGTGATTTTTTTTCTCCCCCATTGGAATGCATTGAAAACGGACATAGTTAAGCGAAACAGGGGGACCTAAACTGTCATCGCTAAGCGAGGCAAGGTCCCGAACATCACTATGCAAAATTTCCCCATAGGGAACATCGTTAAACAGAGCACAAAATTGCTCAAAAAACCTAATCGCTAAGCTAATACATCGTTAAACGAGGCAATCGCTAAGCGAGGCACCACTGTAATGTCATTCACATTAGTTCCCAATTTAACGAGACAGCACAAAGAAAGTAAGGTGGACTTGATACAGGCTTGTAATAGCTCTAAACGTACATCACTAGAGGTAAGATGGCAGACTTTAGCCATGATCAAAAATATAAATACCCATACACACACACTGCCTGTGCCTCTACTGAAATAAATCCTCACACAAGCCTTAAACCTAGGCTGTTCAATCCAAACACAGCAAGCAAAGTGTCATTATTACTCTTTTCTCACAGAACTCACCTCCTGCTCCACCTGGCTTCCCACGACTGCAACAAAAGATCTGCAGATGCTATTAATACAGGCCTTTCTAACTGTAGCAGCAGATTCATATCCAGCTGGCACAAACATCATGAAGTACTGCAGTATGTGACAGAAGACTTTTTTCATCTTCTCAGACTGAAGAAGCCGTAGCACCTCAGCATCAAACAATGCACGGAGCTTCTCCAGCAGTATGCTCAAATAAATAGGTTCAATGTTTTCATGGGAATGCATTTCAAAAGGAAACAAAGCTTTCACCAACGTTAAAAGTGGTTCTTCGTACAGTTCCAACTTTGTAGCATCCATTCCAGGAATGGACTGCAAGACCCCAAAAAGAATTGAGAAGAAACGGCTGCCTAACTCTTCTGGAGGTCCTCCTAGCTGTAGCAGTTCTGTGAGGAAAACCATGCTTAACACTTTAACTTCTGGACTACCATATTCCAAAAGGGAGCATCCGATTGCCCAAAGGGTAACATCTTGTGGCTTAAAAAATATGTAAGAAACTATATCAGTAAGAATTCTTATCAGAGTTATCTCCAAGTATTCTGCGTTGCTCATGCCCTTTAAGTGAATTGGGATAGAATTTAGACAGCCCAAATATACGCTAGGATTGCACAAAAACCTGCTCAGAGTCACAGGCCAGGTTAACGAATCTCCCTGGGAGAGCATTCCCAAACTTCTTTCATGAAGTAAAATCAGATCTTGAAAAAGATGTAGCAATTCTCTTGTCAACAAGTCAAACACGGCACCATTTTTAACTTTGAACAGACACAATAAAGAGCAAATGACATTACTGATGTTCTCATGTAAAATGTGGCAGTTTGGGGTGGCAGCAATTCTCAAAAGCCTTGCTATGATCCAGCTGCTGAATTCTGGAAGACGACAAAGAGAAGATTAATGCTGTTATGACTGCAATCTTATACCAAATTACTTACAAGTCTATTTGACCATTAGAACCTACTTCCAAGTAAACCAAAGGTTAAAAAAAATGTCGCTTATTATCCCTGACTACTGGCCATGCTGGCTGGTGAGAATTAAGAGTAACAATATCTGCAGGGCCACAATTCTCCCATCACCGAAATGAGCCTATACACAAGGAAGCTGCAAGTCCCACACCAGTTAATGCTTCTTTCAAATGCTCTAACAATTAATTAAAACCATGCTGTTTCATTAGGACTTTGGGCAGGAATATTATTTGCCTCCAAATTTGTTGTTGTAATATTATGCTGTTTATAATGTGGCTTGGAGTTTTACCACATAGTTTTTGTTTGAGCATGTACATTGATACAGAAAGACATGCACAGGCATGAAATTGTTTTATTGTAGTATTTTCTCTCTCCCCCCCATATTTTTCCATGTATAAAACGAGACTTTTTACTTAAATACTGTAACTAGACCAAAAATTAAGGGTTGTTTTATACACGGCAGGCAGCCACTTTCCCTGCCTTTTGGGAAGCCACAGAGTAAAGCAGCCGTGAAAGGGCAGCATACTCGCAACCCTTTGATCCTGAAGCAGCCATGAAAGGGCATCAGGATCAAAGGGGCACGAGCACACTGCCCTTTCATGGCTGCATTACCCATTTCCTAAGCTCTGCAGGGCTTAGGAAGCGGGAAATGCAGCCTGGAAAGGGCGGAAGGATCAAAGGGGCAAGAGTGTGCAAATTTTCTAATTTGGGGGTTAGAAAAGGGGGGGCCGTCTTGTAAACGGAAAAATACGGTACTCTCCGGAGACTTTTTTGAAAGCACACTATGGATAGAAATCTATTAGTTACAAGTTGCTGCAAAACAAGATGTTTCCACCAAAAGCTTACTTTCAAACTCATTTTTCAAACATAGAAATTAATAGAATGATCTTCAGCCAAATTCAACATAGCTCTAAAGAAGTGGATCTTTTCCCAAGAGGGTCATTCAAACATAATATTTATCCACAGTATACTGAACCACGGCTCTCTGAGATCACTACAAACAGACATCTCTTCTCTTCTTGGAGGTAGCCCCCAAAATATAGTTTAAAATTCTAATCTCCATAAAAACATATTTTCCTCCCTTTGACTAAATCTCATTTTTCTTGTTGTGGATTCACACCACAAGAAGTTCCACAAGGAGAAAAAATAATCTAGACATGGGGCAGAGAAATCAGGAGGTACAATTTACCGACTGCACAACTCTAGATGTGCTACAGTCTCTCCTACTCTAATGGGGCTTACTAACAGGTAAGTAGGTTGTTGTTGTTTAGTTGTTTAGTTGTGTCTGACTCTTCGTGACCCCACGGACCAGAGCATGCCAGGCCCTCCTGTCTTCCACGGCCTCCCGGAGTTGGGTCAAGGTAAGTAGGAACAGTATATAATTACAGCCTTAAACTTTGCAATTTGAGTCTAAACGTATATCAGGGATGGGGTATGTTCATTGGCTTGTGTTGGTTGATTATTCAAAATTCAGAAATGGAACATGCTATTAAGTTCCATTTCTGAATTTCAAGAAAGGCAGCATTCCTTGTCAACAACTCTATCACTCACTTAAAATCATCCACTTCTTTGCAAAATTAAAATATGCGCCCACTATAATGTGCTGGCTAAAATCTTGTTGTGTAGTTACACCACCCAACACCTGTTAATTAACAAGCCCATTTGGATTCTTGGTTATGTACCAAACCATCCCATCGGCATACAATGAGAAATCCAAGCAGAAACTGTTAACTGACAGCAATTTGCCACTGGATTAATGCAATTTCTCTGCTACCAACATAATGACACAGCTGATTTTTTGCCACTGACTTGTAAAGAATCCATACGACTATTCTGCATGGCTTTGTTCTTAATTTCTTTATCTAACTAATTTTATTTGTCAAACAGCAATTTGGCCCTGCAACTTAAGATTTATCAGCACAATAGCCAAATCCAAACTCTAAATATCAAAACAGAAATTCAACACCATTTTCCTAAAAATATTACCAATAGAGTGACTCCTGGACAAAAAACGCTTAAGCAAACTCACCAACACAGCTGGACTCCATATCACTTTGTTGATGAGTTCCAGCTGCATTTATAAATACAAGTGGGGATGATTTCATGATGTGCAGAATGAAGTCAAGCAACATGACAGAACTCGGCTGAGACTCAGTTCTCTTAACAAGTTCTAGAGCAACTGAAAAGGAAGCAAATCATGATGTGTTATACCAATCATAGTTCTTTTTATGGGATAATAAATCCTTTAGCACAACTTAACATCTGCAGAAGAGTGATGATGTCACCAATACAGCAATTTGCATTAATTATAAAAGTCCTACTTCTGTCTCATTACTTTTCCAACTCCTGTGCAATCACTTTCATCATGTGGAAGCTGTCAGAGCTGCAAGATAGAAGGAGGACATCTTTAACTACAGAAAATGCCCCCAGATAGTGTTACTAGAAGGGGGAGATTTTTGGTTATTGAAGATTTCCTCCTCCCGTCCCAAGGCTCCAGCAGCTTCTATACAATGAGATTATAACTAGAGGCAGAAAAGCCATAAGCAAAAAGTTTTTAATTACCAAAAATCTCCCCCTACCAGTGACATCCCCAGTCACTTCAGTCATAAGTTACACAATAGGATTTAAGTCACTAAGATACAAGAGCCACCCCACACATTCGAAAAAAGTTAATTTGAAAATCAATTTTATTTCTGTCATACTTTCAAAACAATATTGTTTCGTATTCTTTTAGCAATCCAACTGATATGCAGGGATTACAAATATGGAAAGTTGTGAGTCCCAGGGGCCCAGTAGCCAGTCCATAGGCAAATTTTTCGAAGGTTCCAGGAGGTTTTTGTTATGCAAGGCAGCTTTTATTAATGGCAAAGAGTCAGCCTCCTCCTCCCACATTCCCAGGAGGCTAAGTTTCCAGCACTAGCTCCTTACACCCACTCCACTTCACTGGATCCCTGAAAGTTCAAGTCTGAAGTGAGTGAGAAGTATTAGCCCAAATCCAGCGTACAGTCCTTTTACAAAGGGCTGGTAGATGTGAGTGATGAGGACTGGGACCAGATCTTCTTTTGCTGAGCCTGCTGCCATTTGCATCTCCTGTGCTGAAGCTGTATTGGGGTAGGAGCCAAGTCTCTGTTGGGCAGTAAGAGCATCAAGGCTGGGGTGATGCTGGAACAGTTGAGGGTTGCATTGCCAGATGGTCCCCGACCCCTTCCCCAGGCAAACAGTCTGGGCAGGAGGTGGTGGTTCCCCTTGTCCTTTATCCCTTTTTCCACCTCTGCAGGGAAACAGAAGATGGGGTTCCGGTGCTCCATCAGCTCTTCTTACATGTCCCCTTCATCTAACATGGTTAATAACAATGTCCCTGAGCCCTGCAACTCCTGCCCTCTTATTCCCACCATCTCGCCCTCCCCCAGACGTCCCGCACCAGGCAGTGGCCTTTACTTCAGCTGCAGCAGTGCATCCCCAACGCCTATGGGCCTGGGAGACATTCTGTCCCACTCACTTGGGCTTGTTGGGCAGGGCCAGACAGGCTGCTAGGGATGCTTCAGGTGACCCCCTCATAAAAGCATAATCTGTTTTAACTATTTTTGCAGGTATCTTTGACTGTTCTTAAAAGCAAATCTTCTCTTGGTGCTCATACATACTGAAAACAGACATCAAAACAAAGGGAAGGAAAATAAAGCTTACGTTTCTCTTTTGTTAGAAATCACAGGTAAGATGTTATCAAAATAAGGCTACTATATGATGCAGATGAAAACCATCATTAGATATCCATTGTTAATAGTAGTTACTATTCTGAATATGGTTAAAAGGCAAGAAATAACATTACAACCATGATTTGAAGAAATAAAATTTCCCATAGATAGATGACACAAGAAACTTCCTCCTCCCACCCATGCACTATTCTTAGAGTTGCCAAAAATCCCCAAAAAAACAAAAGGAAAGGAAAATAAAATAAAATCTTCTGTTGGCTTTCCTAGCCTGCCAAAACAGGTTTCTGAGATGTGCAGGCAGTCAAGTTGGTAGGAGGGGAAAAGTCCTTCCTGCCTTGTGGCTCAAACTATACCTTACGCTCCCTCACCTTGTGCATAAAAGGGAAGGAACATAGAGTGAGCAAGTCAAAGGCTTAGGCTAGCCTATCCCCATCACAGCAGTTCCCTGTGTTTGTCTTTGAACTTTCAAGAGAAGATTAATTATACCTTTTTATCACCAATCAAACTTTAATAACAGTGTTTAAATTATATAGCTATATAAACTGGATCAATGAAAAACCTATTCCCCAGCAGTTTTTCCATATACAAGATGAAATCTTATTCTCCACTAAGCTCCATGTGATCTTTCTATTTCTCTCAGTTGCATTACTGATTGTCAACTTGAATATTTGGTTAGAATGATTGCCTAATATTTGAGACCTTGTTCACTCATCCAGATTTACAGACAAGATAATGTGCAAGAAAAGAGCTTTTCTGACTCTGAGCTCTTTAATAATTAAAGCTTTCTTTTTACTCACCAACATCCACATCCACAAGAATTCGATCAATGAACTGACAAAGTATTTGTCTTGGTTTCTGTACAACTGTAATGTAGTCCTCTGGACCAGCACTGAAACAGAGTTATTTAAAAAGTTATCACTTTCAGTAATGGTTTTTTAAATCCTCAATACTCACACGTGGCCCCTATTATAATAAAAGACAAAATCACTAATGAGAATTCTGAAAGTAAAGTCTCTTGACCTACCAGCAAATACTGGAACATTCACCTCCGTAGAATGCTCAATGGTTCTCATAATATTTATATGTTACACTATTTAAGTCTTTCGTCCCATGTAATTAAAAACATTAAATAAATTTTATTATGGGTATTTACATAGCCCAGCTATTAAAATGCTGAGTTTCAGATACAAGTTAACTTCTCTTTAAAGACATCTTGAGAATTAATGTTTTTCTTTCTCCAGCAAATGAATTTTCAACTGACAGTGAAGGCCTAAATCCAATTATTCCCAAGTAGAATTTAACCATTTAATAAATGTAACCTGCTATGGAAATTCCTATGGATTCATAGCTCTTTCCTAACAAATGAATTTAGGCCACTGTATTCAGTTTATGTAATTTTCAGATAGAAGTCCTTCAAAATTATACCTTCAAACTTGGCATTTAGTTCACATAATGGAAGATAAATTTTAAAGTATTAAGGGCCAAATTATGCATACCAACTGACACTGAGGATTCTAAACATTGGGAAGATCCTGGGAGTCATTACATATGATGTGGCGGGGCAGTAAAAACATGCTAAAAGTTTTTGAGTCAGAGGCCAAGCAAAACAGTATTTTCTCCTGACATGAAAAGTAAATATTGAGACTCAGCTCTTTTAAATATAACTAACAGAACACAAGATATATTGATTGGCTTCCATGACACAAAATAGAAAATGAGAAAAGGCCCTTGCCAGGATACACTACCCAATCACTCCTGTTGCAAGAAGGCATGGCTCAATAAACTGGTGTAGACCTTCCTTCCAAACAGAGGAAAAGAAGAAAAGGGAAGCAGACAGACAAAACAGATTGTCCACTAATTCACTAAGACAAAACTTTGCTCACTTGATGACACAGCATGGAGATGAGAAAACTGTCTACTATTTAAGAGAAAGAAGGGTCAAACAATCAGAAGTAATTTTGTTGTTTTCAAATGAATTGTATATGTGTCATGTGGTGAGTCTTTGTTCACAAGTGAACAACCAACACATAAGTGAACATGTCTCTTTCAAGCTCCCCTTTCACTAACTTAATTTTATATGTCAATTTCTCCAACAGTGCAGTGGACCAACCCTGCTAAGCCAATTACACATACAAAAGTCTTCTAATGTTATCCGTCATCTAATAACTTCAAGCTATGTAGCTATCAGTAGGAGGAAGATCAAATCTTTGCACAGCAGTTCTTTTACTGTCACCAAAATAGAGTATTAGCAGCTTGTTACAGCATTTCATGTGCTGATCATCAGTAACAGGAAGTTTGTTTCCAAAAGTAGGAAACTGCTGGACATAACAGGCTACAAATGGAACAGATATCTCACCTTATGACATCTTTCCCCCGTGTTTTATGTCAAAAACATAACAGGGTATAGATGCCAGAGATTGACTACTTTTAAAATTAAGCATCATTTAATTGAACAGAGGCATGTACATGGCAAGGAAGCCCTGATTCAATTCCATTTAATTGAATGGACTGAATTACCTAGGTTTGCCTCTTGTGCCACCTGGAATCCAGCCACATTGCCACAAATTACGTTGCAGAAACCTAACTTTGAGTAACATTTAGGGGAGCAGCATAGACTGATTCAAATTTGAACACTGGTCTCATAGGTCCATGTCTGCACAACAACCTATGTACAAAATCCTAGACCCACATTATTTGACTCTACAAGATTCTTGGGCCCTGTACCCTAGTTTGCAATTGTTCTTTTCCATTGTTTGTTTAAAAATAAATGATGGGAGGAGGGCACAGAAACACATACAGAGGCAACATAACTTATACGCTAAAAATATGTATCTATTCGACACTAAAACAAAGTCATTTAAAGGGGTCCTAATAAAGCTACTGCCAGAGAGGTTTTATTTTATTAAGCCTCTCCTCCAACTTCAAAATGTTAATTGGCCACAGGGACTAAAAATCCTGCGCCAGCCCCTTATTTTTCCCCCCCTTACAATGAAGCGCTCGGGAAATGGAATGAGTGATCACTTACGGACACACTATCAACCTGCCCAACCCCACAGGGTTGTTGTGAGGAAGAAACAGGTATAATAAATAACATTACACACTTTGGGGGGAAGGGAGAAGGGGGGAACTCAAGAAGAGCCTCTTAAACAAGGAAGGAAGGAGGTATTCACGCCAGCCAGCCAGCCAGCCTCCGACCTACCTGGTCAGCTCCCTGAGCGCTGGGATCATCGAAGCCATCTCCAACCCCTGGTCTGCCATTCTTCTTCACTGCCCTTCCGGGCTCTTCTCCCGCCACCTTAGTTTCGACTTGACACCATCCCCGCCCCCTTTTCCCCGGATTAACTGGGCATGACAGATTCAGGACGGTGGCTGGCGAGGGCCAAACCTCGCACGAACGCGTTTACTTTCCTTTCTTGCGGTTGGTGGTCTTGCTAAAGCTGCTTCCAACCTTCGCTAGCCAAAACAAACAAACAAAAAAATTAAATTAAATTTAAGAAGGTTAATAATAACTTGATTGCTTCCCATCCTGGGGAAAGCTCAGGCTATATGCTAAAATAATTGCAACATTTACTGAATTAAGCAATCCGTATGCAGACGTCCCACTCGGTCCACCCCCCCAAAACGCATGCGCTGCTTTAGCCGGCGATTCGGGGCGTGCTTAACGTCGAACTTAAGCCCCAGAAGCTCAGTGGAGCTTACTTTCGAGTAGTCACGTCAGTTTGGTAGAAGCGCATTGTGTGAAGGGGGGGTGCACAACCTTATGGATATCAGGCAAAATCCAGAGAGACAAGACAAAAATGTGGTGCCTTAAAGGCTAACTATTATATTTTAATGTGAGATTTCGTGGACTCTGACTAACCCTACGAATAGTTAGGATTGCACCTTTATATTACGCAAGTCCATTCATTTTAACTCACGAGTAGGTATTGTAAATCCCCTTTGGGTACAGCGGGTGATAAGAACTCCCGCGTAAACTGGGGTCTTTAGGCTTGCCCCATTATTAGTAGATGTCCGCCTCAACACGAAACTGAGCAAGGTGCTTCCGTCGCCCTTATGCAGAAATAAAAGAGACCTGCATGTACACGTGAAAGCGGCGGCGGCGGCGGGCAGAGGGGCTTGGTCCGGAGCCAATTAGAAGCTATTAGCAGGTGTTGCGTGCGAATGGCGCGCCTTCCGGGATAGCCCAGGCTCTGCGCTGAAAGGCCCGCCTGACCCCCCCCCCGGCGCCCGGCTGGCTGGAAGAAGAGAGTGGTCCCGATTAAACCGGGCCGCGGGAAGGGGCTCCGCCAAGAACCCGTGTGGATTTTTATTGCTGTTTCTGGATCAGAGCGGAGCTCTTTCCAGCGGGCAAGAGAACGGGATGTGCCTCGTCGGATTTTTCGTCACCTCTAGGCGAGCCACCGGCAAATAGGCAGGATTGAACACCTCCGTTTATAGGTCACACTCGCTTGTATCTCAGCAGCCTGCTTGTTCGTGGGAGTGCGCGCAGATCAGGGCCAAGATCAAGAGATGTAAGCTACTGCTTCCGAGGGAACAGTTAAATAAACTATAAAAAATGTTAGAATCGTGAACTTTTTAAAATGTGGACGACGCGATGGGACTTCTTGAACTTGACACAGTTTAGGACCACAGGGTGTCCTAATCTGGCAGGAGCACAGACCCCTAAATCCTGAGCGATGCAGGACAAAAATGGGTGGGCCGGCGTATAAATCTATCTGCTTGTCTTAATAAAACCAACCAGCCAACCAATAAATGAATATTGATTGTATTATCATATCAGTGTTTAACAGATTTTGGCACTGGAACCCAAAAGGAAACTCCCTTGTTTTCTTGTAGCCCAGCTGCCTCTAAAAAGCAGATGATAAGGAGGATTTATGTATGCAGTATGAAAAAGGCTGGAGGATTTGTGAGTGCAAGGATGTCAGAAGCATTTAGCAAGGACCACCCAACTGTGTCTGTAGTGCAAACCACCTTCCACAAATTGCTATTAGGGGGTCAGCGAGCATCTCAACCATAGCTGTGTTCCATGAGACTCACTGTTAGATACAACAGATAATCCTCCTTCAATTTATTAATTTAAAATATTTCTATCTCACCTATCTCCCCAAATAGACGCAAGGCAGCCTTCTACAAACTCTGAAGAGATACTGTTTTAACCAATTACTATTATATTTGTGAAGATAGCAGGGCCTGGCGTACTCTGGTCCATGGGGTTACGAAGAGTTGGACACGACTCAACAACTAAACAACAACAAATTATATTTGTGTCTATTTATTACATCTAAATTTCACCTTTTGTCCAAGGAGGTCAAAGAGATAAACATGGTTCTTCCTCTTTATCATCTCAGCAATCATGGGACAGAGTGAACGGTTGTGACTAATCCTAGCTGACTTGGACTTGAACTTGTGTCTTCACAGTCCTCATCCAACACTGACCCTACACTAAAGAGTCATAAGAATTTGGGCTCCTGAGGCAGGCATTGGCGCCTGAGGCACGGGCATGAATCCCACCTCCCAAGAAAAAGGAAGAAAATAATAGTGTCTCCCATAAAGAAATACTGTAAAAGAAAAAATGTATATGCATTCAATGAGAAAAACCAGGCAAAGAATGCTAGAGGGTGTTGTTTATTTTCCTAACACTCAACAATATATTCGCCTCTAGATTTTGGCATGCTCTAAATTTTGGTGCCCAAGGCGAAGCCTCAATTGCGTTGCCCCAGTTAGAGTCCTGCCACACTGCCTCTTGTGACTTTACATAATTCCCAATATACTAGTATGAATTTCTACTACAGAGCAGGGCATTCTTCAAATTCCAGAAGCACCAGCCAGCATGGACAGTAGTAAGGAATGATGGAAGCCGTATTCCAAAACATCTAGAGGTCCACATGGTCACCACCCCTGGATTCCTATATGCTTCCTTTCAGTGTAAATAAACACCAGTTCTATGTATATCTGACTTTCAGTTTTCATATTCTTCCATATTGATACACAAGGTCATGGAATGATAACTAGGATTAAGCTGGAAGACACATATTTTAGAACTTCTATTTTTGGCTGGGAATAAGTACACATAGGACTGAATTTATGAATTTAGTTCAAATCTAGTCAGATAAAAGTAAGAAAAAATTAGAACAGAAAGACGGATGGATCTTCAGAACTTTGAAGAGTAGGCAGTTTTGAAAACCAGAAACAAAAATATATTTATGAAAGGAACTGTTTAATTAGTCTAGCACATAACAAAATGCAAAATAAAAGGTACAGCCACCTACGAAATACATAACATAATGCCACATATAGTAAACTTAATTCTTAGCAAGTTTCATAAGATTAACTCAGTTGATCCAATCCAAGGTGCAGCCAGATCATATTCGAGTTTCCTTCTCATTAAATCCCACTGGGTGGATGGGAGTTAGTTCCAAAATACATGAGGAACTGTAACAGCAAGCTGCAGTCCTAAACACATTTTTGAGCAAGATACCGTGGATGCTAGTTATACTTCTATTTTCTCATGAGCCAGCCAGGGTGTAGTGGGTAGATAGTTAACTAGGATTCGTTAGACTTGGGTTCAAATCCCCGCTTGGCCCAGAAACTCATTGGGAAGAGTGGCACCGGTAAAGCCACACTTTAAATATCTCACATACCTCGGAAACCCTACTAAAGTCGCCAGAACTCAGAATGGACTGCACTGGATAAAAATGACTTGGACCGCTCAAAATATTAAATTCCACTCCCTTGAGTTTAAAAAAAAAAGATGAAGACGATGACAAGCATCTGGAAAAGAAGCCCATGGAAATCGGTTGCCTTTTCTCCCACCTCCGCAAGATAATCGCGAGAATTTCATTCCCCTGGTGACAAACCTCTGAGCCACTGCCTCCCACCTCCTTTACAGAGCGCATTCATCTGCCCTGAACCCGCCTCTCAGTTCCGACGGCTCAAGGGGATTGACTTGTACAGCTGCCAGTCAGTAATGCAGGGACCGGCTTGCAGGTGTCCTGGACTTTGCAGCCCTTAGTGGAGCTTCGTCGGGCGTTGGAGCCGGAGCCTGATCGAGAGCTAGTTGCAGAACTACAGAAGCGGGAGCGGGCAGGTGGGGGGGCAGAATCCAACCCCCGCTTGAGGCACAGGTACTTCCCCCCCCCGTCCCCTTGCAAGGGCAGATGGAAAGACCGGCATCCGTTTTTGCACCTTTTCTTCCTTGATTCCCCCTAGGAAGGTTGTTCATTCATAATGTCAGACGTATGTTTAGATATTGTGCAACTTTAGAGGTTACTGCCGGTTTAGTTTCGTGAGTTTTAGTTCAGTCTTTTTCACTGTTACGATAGCTTCTGAGGTAAACAAGCCTACATATTTTCCAAGAAACGTTAGTTAGAGAACATTTGCAGAAAGTACTCTGGAGTACTAAAAAGGCAGGTCAGATCTTATTTCCATAACTGTTTTTCTTAGCAAAGGTTTCTTTTCAGTGAATTAATAACGCACACAGTGACATTTCCTATTATGGCTGCTATTAAAAATCAATATAATATTATTTGGAATTGTGTTATACCTTATACAAGCAGAATATGAAGGCATATATTTTAGTTCTTGTAGTTTTGTGTTCCCTATAGGCAAAACTATACAATATTTTCTATAGGTTACATAAGGGTGTGGGTACAAAGGACAGGTATGATGTCAGATTTTAAACTTCAGAGATAAAATGTGGGTCAATATGTTTTTAATTTAATCAATAGCTTATTGAGAAGGCTCATTATCTGACAAAAGTATGGCAGGAGTATAATTCTCAGCAAGCAAATATGCTGATCACAAAGCCTGCTCCTTCAGTTCTGAAACTGTTTTAATGCTTTAAGTCTTACCAAGTGCAGAAAAACTTACTCTCAAGAATATGTGCTTAGAATTATTGTAAAATATAGTATTGGTATCATAACATGATTGTGCTTTAGGGCTTTGTATGTATGTGTTTGTGTTTTTGTTAGTATGATGTATGCTTTTAAAACAGCTATTGGCAATGTGTTCTTCATTCAGTATCTAGCAACAGAGAGACATTTCCTTTCCTTTCAGAAAATATGTGCTCATCAGTGAATTCCATATATTTTTCTTGTCTTATACTTTCAAATACAAAAGTGTATCTGAAAAAATACCAAAGAATTGGGACATTGGGATTCTTTCAGCTACCTTTATTTCTTACTTCTTTTCCTGCTGTTTTTGGTCCTTGAAGAGGAAATTAGCAACAAATAACCTCAACGTCTAGCTTGTTGCTTATTGTGTTAGATAGGAAGAGAGGAGAATGAAAAATTCATGGAGTGCTGTGGACTAGAGCAGACCAGTGCTCTTGCATGGCTGGAAATTCTCAAATATCCCTATTGTTTTCTGTGGAATTTAAATACTTATCTAATATGTTTCTAGAAGGTATCAAGGTAACTTTACAAATGTTAGCTGATAGCATATTGCGGGAGTTAATACTGCTGGTTCTCAAAAAATAAAAATAGATACTTTCCCCATGGAATGTGCAGTGTGTGGGGGATGATGAAATTCTTGATTAAAACTACTTCTGGACTGAGTTAGTTTTCTTTAGGTCAGGAAGCAAATAACCAGTTCGCTCATGATCTGGGAGTTACAATAAGAGCATTGTACCCCCATCAGAATATCAGTTTCATGGGAGTACTCATGTTAGCCTGTTGCAGCACAAAAATCCTAGTTCTGAGGACCAGTGTTGGTGTTCAATGAGCCCAACATCTTTTCTGCTCACATCTTGATTGCGGTGTGCTCTTCCTTCACAGTGTGAAGGCAAATAAAAACATTCTGCTGCTTTCTTCTCCAAGATGAAAGCAAGAGAGAGCTGGCCCTGTAGAATTACTTAACTTTTTAATTCTCCTTGGGACTGGGCTGTAGTTTTTCAGAAAAGAAGTGTGGATTGTCTACCCAGAATGTCTCTGTGTGGCATGCCAGTAGAGTTGAATACTGTATACAGGTATAGTAAGCAGCAAAGCTAAGAATACCATCTCATAGCTCAGTGGTTTAGATTGGGAGTTAAATTCCCCACTGTGCCTCCTTACTGGACTCGATTCACTGATCATTGTCTCTTTCACTATACATATCTAGGATTCAAAGATCATTCTCCCAGATGTGGAAAACTATACAGTATTATGAAATTGTATTCTTAACTACGGATGGAAGCGCCTAATACTTTTTTAAGCACATAGACAATAACTGAAGAAAATTTAATTTACATTTGACTCTTGTCTACACATAAATCAGTTAGCCTGTCTGTTTCATTCCTTTAGAATTCAGTAGCTGTTTGTTCTGTAACCTGTTAAGGACTTAAGGTGAAACAAAACAGATTTTTGTTATTTCTGTGGAGACAGAAACTGCAATTGAGAAAGGCTTCTAAATACTGCCTAGTGGCTGAAATTCAACAGTAAACTGCTAATAGAGTAGGCCCATTGAATCAGTGAAAACTTGGTAAGTCAACTCCTTCATAAGATCCACTGATTCAGTGGGTCTACTCTAGTTGCAACTTAGTATGCGAAGCAACAGGATTTCAGCCAGTGTGGATATAAGCTGGATGTTACATTCCTAGCATTTTCAATGCACCATCCTTTCTCCAAGGGCCCTTATATCACACTGGAAAGGGTGCTCAGAAGATGCGACCAAGAAGGGGAGAAGTAGCTGCTTTACTCAGCATTTTGTTATGTTCATTAATACACTACTGGTTAGTCAAGAATAACAGACAAGTTCACCAGTGTTCAGATGAGGAGTAACAAAGGCAATAAAGTGTCAATGTATACAAGAAAAGTAGCTCATGCATTCACAGAGTTTCTTATTAAAAATCTTAGCCATCTGGGTGTTACAGCATTCTTGATAATCGATGTGACCAGTAGCACTTGTGTCCATATATGGTAATGAAACTGTCAGCATAACTGACAGGCTCACCTTTGAACACACTGTTTTTTGCTTTTTGCTCAGAACACATTGCAATCACAACTTTCTCTTAGAACTTGCAATGATAAAGTGAAAGGACGTTGTAGAGAGAGGAATATCTGATGTGTGGTGGTTGGCATGTTTTTTGTTTTGTGGTTTTCTAAAATTCCCTATATCACAAGTAAGTTATTGGAAACAATAATTAGATGTGTGATAGTTATTATTCTAGCTATAATGCTGTTTTTTTCATAAAAATACAAACAGTAGGAGAATTTAGTTGACCCATCATAGTTGATACACAATACTACTAAGAATATTGTTATCCTTGGAGTTCTACACTGTACTGTAGATAACTGAGAATTACTTCTTACTGACATTTAAGAATGTTAACAAAGTTCATATAATAGGGGTACAGTTTAAGAATGACTGCTGTGTATCAGATATCAATGCATTCTCAGGCTTTGTGGTACTCCAAGGTAGTCAAAGGTGTTCACAGAAGGAAACAGTTCTCTTCCTCCCTGGCAGGCATTTCTCCCTTCTGAAAAGAATCTCTAGAGGGTTAGAGAGGCTCCTGAATTATGCAGGGATTGAGCAGAGAGAAGATATTCTACAAACCGCTGCCTAAATTAGGGTTTATTGCTTCCTGGCTCCTCCTCATACTTGTTCATGAGGATTCACTGACCTTCCACAGAGATTTTTCAAGGGCTAACTTGAATGGAGAGAACAGGAAACATTCTTTCAGTTAACTTATCTTAAGATCCAAACTAATATATTTACAGCAAACATTTGGTAAAGCAGCCTTCTATTCTGTGATTATTACATGTTTTGTGTGCGAGTGCCTCATGGAGTTCTATAAATATTCATTACACTATTTGAACACTGGTTTATGAAAGCAATTTTGATTCACAGTGACCTTCCCAGTTGGGCAACAGCAGCAGATCTTTGCAATAGTATGCCTGTTTATTACTGCAGAAAATTATTGCCTGCTTCCTCAGTTTTTGTGTGACTGTGACTTATTTTGGCTATATACATATTTCTGATCAGAACAGGACTGATGCATTAGTCTAATATATTTGCAATTGCATTAGTTTTTGAGGATAAATCATTCATAATATTGAGTGTTATTTAGAAACCCATGTCTTTAATGGAGGATGCTTTAGGATATTTCTACCAGTCATGCTGGCTGCAGGACCTTGGGAATTGTGATGCAAGAAAGGAACTTTTCCAAGATATAGAGTTACTGTAATCTGCCAACAGTATCAGCAAAATACATCTGCTGTACTGCCAAGGTCGATTTAGAGTGGCACCTTCTTATATTCTTATGTATCAAACTGTAAAACTATGATTTCTCAACTTTATGTATTCATTGGGGGCTTCTATTTACTTAGATGCTCCAGTTTGCCCCATTATCTGTTTCTGGTTTTTATCTCAGCTGTGCTAATTAATTCCAAGGGCATGTTTACACTATAGACTTAAACTAGTTCCACAGTAATTTGCCTTCCCAGAAGACCTTGACAACTGCAATGCTATGAGAGAAGGAGGTGACTAAAGATCACTAATTAACAATTGTCCGCATTTTACTGTATTGTGGTTACAGTGAAATCTTGCTCATGTCTACTCAAGAATACATTCCACTGAGTACAATGGAACTGACTTCCAAATGTATGCATACAGAATGGTACAAACCACTGTTAAAGCAGATATCCTTAAAACATGTATTTATCAATGTGGTGTGTTGGTTAGTATGGTTCACTTAAAACTTCAGAGACTTAAATTCATATCTCCTGTTAGCTATGAAACTCAATTGTTGAACTTGGTCCAGTTTCTCCATATAATAAATTGAAAGAATTGTTCTAAGATTTTTTTAGTGTGAGAAGAAAATATGTACAGTGGTGCCTCAACTTACGAACTTAATTGGTTCAGGATGATGGTTGTAACTCGAAATGGTCGTAAGTTGAAGCACCATTTCCCATTGGAATGCATTGAAATGCAATTAATCCGTTCCAGCTGAAGAAAAAAATCACTGCAAGACTGGTCGGAAATGCGATTAATCTCTTCCAGCTGAAGGGAGGGAGGAAGAGAAAAGCAATCAACCGTGCAAGACCCATTGCAAATGCAAAGAAGACAAAGCAAAAAGCAATTAAGCGTGCAAGACCTAATGCAAACGAACCATTCCAAAAAAACAATAAACCGCGCAAGACCTATTGCA